GAGAGAGAGAAAGAGAGAGAGAGAGTTTTAATATTTATTTTTTAGTTTTCGGCGGACACAACATCTTTGTTTTTGTATGTGGTGCTGAGGATCGAACCCGGGCCGCACGCATGCCAGGCGAGCGCGCTATGGCTTAAGCCACATCCCCAGCCCCCTCATTCTTTTTTTTTTTTTCTTTGCTTGAATATGATTTCATTGTATAGATATACCACAATATATTGAGCTAATTTCCCATAGATGGACATGTAATTGTTTCAAATATTTTGCCATAATAATCATGCTTCTATGAACAACTGTATACATTCTTCAATTTTCAAATGTAAGAATTTACCTAAATAGTTAGTTATTTGACATGAAATTGTTGGGTCAAAAGATAGATGACTCTCCACTCCCAGCTCCCAGCCCCAGTACATGTATGGGTAAATGGAGCCTACATATCCCACATGCTTTTTAACTCTGGTGAACTTTAAAAGGTGCATGCTTGTAATCCCAGCAACTCTGGAGACTGAGACAGAAGGATCACAAGTTAAAGAATTTGGGATGGAACTAAAGACCTCACCCCACCCATGATGAAGAAAATGCCTTTAAAGTGAGACTTAGTATCAGAACAGCTCTTGGTGATAAAGCATATTAAGAATATCTCTTTAGAGCGATGGTGGCTTTCTCCATGAGAAAAGTTCCCAACAGAGAAACAATGGAGTAAGCAAACAGTACAAAAATCTTAATTGGTTATTTGCAATATTATGTGAGACAGTGGATTATTTTAATCTTTGATCTTGAAAATAAATTTTTAGCCAATTGGGAAAAGAAAGATAGATGAATTTTACAATTGGGTGACAACAGTTAAACTAAATTCCTCCTCAGAGAGATTTTTGAGTTTTACATGCAGAAGGGTCTATTTGCTTAAGTATGCTACCAGACTTTTTGTTAGAAAAAGTGTATTTATGCAACACTGGTGAAATATCGTTAAGTTAAAAGAGCACAACTGAAAATTTTGTGTACAGTAAGAATTTACCCATGCAAATGGATATCATTGGAAGAGATTATGCTAAAATATGTGCAGTGGTTATCTTCATGTCCTGGTTATTTAATTTCATTATTGCAAAATTTCTGTAGCAATATTATTTAACTTTTTCTCAAAATATCTGAAATTTCACTTGTCTTTTAAATACACTGCCTGCTCCAACAATAAGTTTAATAATTTGAGGAATACGTTCTGGCAGCCTAGACAACCATTTTAAATTTTACCATCAGGTGGTGGAAAAGAGTTAAAGTTCCAGGATCTAGAGATCTGAGGCAGGAAAGTTGGGCACAATGTATCAGGAAAGCTTGTTAGTAACTTTAAAAACAATATTCATGTGTTAAAATTTAAAACACAGACAGTGACAATTACATCCAAAACATTTGTCCCAAATATTTAAAATTTCCATGAAAAAACCAGGTACTAACTTTGGCACACCAACTTGTTAAGGGTGCCCTTTTCACCCTTGTAGTTTAGCCCATGCTTCTGGTGCCCCCTGCTGATCCTGCCAAACTTCCTTGCCTTCCTCTGACCTCACTGCTTTCAAAGCATAGGAACCACTAGGTGAACCGATCAATGTATGTCCTTGGAAAAGCCCAGGGCTGGAGGCCATCGCTCCATCTTTTTAGTTATGGGTGACTTTATTGGTGGGGTGTCATCACAATAGATTTGGGGTAGTGTTATGGGGTACAGAAACTTTTAGTCTTCCAAGTCACCCTAGCAACTGCCTTTTCACTATGTCTGGACCTAATTAGAAAAGGCACAAGAGGCAAATGGTTGCATTTCCAAGCTAGGTTGCGGGCGGGGTATTAACCAGTCACGGTACCCTTGACCTTCTTCTCCCCTCCTTGAGCCTCGCTACTTCTTGCCTGGGGTGACTGATGGTTGTCTTGCCTCGGACCCTCTTAAGAAATAGCAACCGGCAGCGCTAGACCTGGGGTTCCGTATTACTTCAAGGCAGAGACGGATCTTGCTCTGGGGTTACATTTATGAGGGTGGCAGACTGGAGGTAAATAAGGAAGCTCGGGCTCCTACTGCTGGGGTGGGATTGGTGAAGAAGAATCTTGGGTCCTGAGGACCCCAAGGGGGTCAGAGAAGAGCTGAGCTCCTGCTAAGGGACCTAGAGTCAAGGGGAGACTGCAGCAATGACATTTTAGACTAAAACTGTAGGGCCTGACTTGCAGTGGACGCTCCCGGAGTCGCGCACAGGACTCGCCAAAGCGTCCACTTCTTCCGCTAGCTTGTCAGTTCCCAGGCTTTAGGGAGCGAACACAGGGTCCTCACCACCACCCTCTGATCAGGCTGGTTTCGAGGCTCCTTTCTGCGAACCAAAGAGCCTGGATTTCTCCGCGAGGGATTCGGGTGAGGGGGGTCTTGTGGGCAGAAACCGGAGTCGAATTCCGGACCATTTCTTTGCAACCCTCAGAGGCTTACTGAAGAAGGGAGGATTCAGGGCTCTTACTGATGATTGCATGTCGACGAGGCGCTTCAGGTTGGCCTGGATCCGGGCATAGATCGCACCCTTTATCCGGCTAGTGCGTCGGATCCCCCAAATTCCTTGGTGCGCGCTGGCGGGGATGGGTGGAGCGCAGAGGGTGGACTGCGGCCCGCGGAATCGGGCGTGGCTTAGGACCTGGGGGCGGTTTCCCTGCGCTACTGTGGAACTCCGAAGTTGTGCCTGACCGAGGGCTGTGACTGGCAGGCCTCCTGTCGTGTTCCCTCCCGCTGCACCGACTCTCCTCCGCGCCACCTACTCGCGCCAGCATGACGGGCTCACTATTCAAGGCAAACTTTTGGGTAAGTCGGCAGGGCGGACAGCAGGTCCGCCCTTGGCTGAGGACAGGATCGAGGGGCGCGGCCAGCGGGCACCCAGCTCCAGCACCACTCGGTGACTGTGCGTCCTGGAGCTCGGCGGGGCCCAGTCCTGCTGCTCTAGGGCACACGCAGAGCGGACAACGGTCGCTATCCTCTCTCTGCCCCAGGCCTCTACCACCGCGTCCGCAAATCTCGGGAGTCAGTCCCTAGGGTCCACCTTGTACCCCCACGAGTGTGTATTCCAGAGGACAGGCATAGCCAGAGACACCTTGGATCAGGCACCTCTAACCCCACAGATGAAAACTGAGCCGCAAAGGGAGGAGCAACAGGTCTGGGCAGAATCGCCGCCGGCCGCTGAGGCTGAGCCTGAGCAGGTTTGGGAGGACCTGGGGTGGAGGCGCAGTCACCCCCAGGGGCTACCTTTTCCAGGAAACTAAAGCTCAGAGGGTTTTCTTTGCTGGCAGCCTGTTTTCTGACGACCTTCATAGCCCATGGGGCACCCCAGGGAGTCCAAGGTGAGAGAGAACCTAGGAGCTGGTGGAGGCATCTAAGGCAAGCCAGGGCTGGTTCAATTCATAGGTGTCATATCTTCCTGTCCCTTCCCTCTGTCCAGTCCTCTTCCCCTGCCTGTCACTCCCCAGGTATCTCTTAAAGATCCATGCCTCCTAATTCAGATGAAGGACCTCGTCCCTTTAAGAAGGATCAAGTAGTTGCCACACCTGAGAGTTGGCCCACAGCAGCCCAGAGGCCCTGCTTGGGACCCTACTTGACTCCTATCTAGCATCACGATCACTTAGCAGGTCCCTGTCCCTTGGGTTGCTGTGTGGAGAAAGCTGGCTGTCTGTCCTCAGGGGACAAAGTTTAGACCCTATCTTGTGAGGCTGACATTTTTGAGGTCCTGGGTACTGCTCACCAGTAGGATGAAGGGCTGTGGCAGCCTCACAGAGAGGATCAATAACCACACAGCTGGCGCTCTCAGGAAGTCTGGGAATTCTTCAAGCACAGTATAGTACTTTTGCATCCCCATGACAGGCACTGTGAAAACAAGCAGGACACACTTGCCTTTCCCCGCTCAAAATGTGATACCCAGTTTTCAGGTCTCAGTGCAAGTGTCCCTTCTGGGAAGCCTTTTTTGACTGCACCCAGTAGACCCTGCTCACATAGGTCATGTTCTGCAACTTCTTAGCATTTACTAGCTAATGAGTTTGGTGGTCCACAGAACACAGCACTCGTGGTCAGGTACTGTGCCTACTGTCTACACCACTGCCCCTTGCATAGCAGGCACACAGTGGGTCCTCGCCAAGTATTTCTTGAATGAGCAAAATGGGTCTGAATCCAACGGGTATGTGACTTGATGAGAGTTGAAATCTCCATCCTCAGAGGGCCCCTGGCAATTGTAAGCAAGTCCCCCAGCTGTTCCCTATGCATTCTTTGTGGAGTGGTCAGGGAAGGGACAGAATGAGGTCTGGGTTGAGGGAGTTTGGATGATGTTCTCTGGGAGAGACTCTCTGGGCTTCTACTTTCAGAAGTTCCCTGAGATCCCAGGTGACAGTTTGCAGAGACATTTTCCATCTTTAATTTCCTGTGACCATTGATGTCAGATAATAAAAACGATTGCTATTCTTACTACACACAGACTCTGTCAAACACTGCTCTAAATGCTTCCCTCACATTACCCTATGAGGTAGCTTACTTACTACCCAATTTTATAGACGAGGAAACAGAGTGACAGGGAGCTTAAGCAACATTCCCAAGGCCTTAGGGCTGAGAAATAGTGGCTCACAAGTCTGCATGGACTAATTGCTCAGCAAGTGCCTCAAAAAGGGCGACGCAGAACAAGAGTGTCCCAGTGTAGCTGTTTGAATGGCCTCTTGGGCATGCCAGGGGTGGAGGTGAGCCATCCTTTGACTCTTCACATGAGTCTTTCTCCTGCAGCTCCAGCCATGAGTTCCTGCAGGGTAGGAGTGTTCCAGCTAAGCCCCAGCATCTACCATAGTTCTTAGCATATGGATACCCAGGAATCAGATGGATAGGACATGGTCAGCCAGGACTAGGGAATAAAGGGGCAGGGAGAAGCTTTGGGAGATCTAAGTGCTTCCTGTCAGTGTTTCTGGTCCAGTTTCCTTGATGGTTCCCATTCCCAGTCCCTTCCTCCTCCACATTGTTAAGATCAGGTGTTCTACTCTCAGGGAGTAAAACAGGCAGGGTGTTGATAGCACCGAGGTGATGGCTATAACATTTGTGTTTCAGGGATGAGAGGTGGTGATTGGAATAGGAAGAAAACTTTGGAAACAAATGGATATCAATTTACTAGATTTAACAAATTTCTCTGGATAAGGCACTCTAATATAAGGATAAAACCACTACTTGGTTTTAAGATGGATGTCTTTTAGGATGTAAGGTGGGGAGGGAAGTTTTAGCCTTGAACACCTGATCTTAACAATATGGAGGAGGAAGGGACTGGGAATGGGAACTGACTGGCAAGAGTCAAGGAAACTGGGCCAGAGGCAGAGGGATTTGTTCCAGGGTGGAGACTGTAGGGAGGGGATGGAGGTGGGAGGTGATACTGCAGAGGTAAAAGAGGTCAAAGCTGCAGACCAAGAATGAAGATGAATGAAAGCAGGAGAGGAAAGGAGGGTGGGATCAGGCTGCATAGAAGGGGAACTGGAAAATGAGGTGGGGGCCCCTGAAATAAGGAAGTTAGTAGGAGGAACTGGTTTGCAGAGACAGAAGGAGGAGGAGGAGGTGGCAGAAATTATATAAACAATATGTAGTCAAGTTTAGCACCTGCAAGGGCAAAGGCCAGCAGAGTGCAAAGCTCCCCTCTGCACCAGTACATGTTCCTGCCCCTCTGCACCATGCCAGGGTTGCTTCTTTGGGGCGATCTTGCTGCAGTGGAAGTTTTCAGGGCATAGGAAGGGTACCAGGCAACAGAGTTTTGAATATTTTAATATTTTAATAACTCAGTACAAACGTGGCATTGTGTACCCCTGATATTTGCTGGTTGATATTCTGGGTTTGTGGGGCTGGTGGAGTTAGCTCTTGGAAAGGGTGTCCAGGTGAGAGAATTCATGGAATAGCATGACGTGCAGGAGTGTCATTGGCGGTCAGCAGAAGCTGTGAGACACACTGACTCTTACTAGTTGGGTAATCTTGGGGAGGTTGCTTAAATCCATCAAGCCTATGTTGTCCTATGAATAAAAATGGGTATAATAATAGCGTCTAATCCACAGGACTCTTGTGAGGATTAAACCAGAGGGTTTAGTACAGTGTTTAGGACAGAGCGAGCACTTGTAATTATTAGCTATTGTTATCAACACGGATGACAAAGGAGGTAGGGGACAGTTACTCAAGAAGAAAGAATAAAGAGATAAAGTCCAAAAAAAAATATAAGCACTTTTGGTAAATACCTGTTTTTAGGGAGGGGAGCGAGGGGACAGAGAAAGAGAGACAGGGAGAAGGCCCTGTCTCGCAGGCCCAAGAGAAGAACATTCCAAGGAGTTGAGAAGCCCATGGTAAAATGAAGTACATGTTCCTGAAAAAGTATAAGTCAATGCGTACTTTGCAAATAATCATATTTAAATGCATGATGAAAATGTTAATTTAATGGAAACTTTTGGTGGATAGGTTTCAAAGGGAAATAATCAGCATTCTTTAAAACTGGGATTGGAAAGCTGGGTATGGTTGGTGGTACTTGTCTGTAATCCCAAAGACTCGGAAGGCTGAGGCAGGAGGATTGCAAGTTCGAGGCCAGCCTCAGCAATTTGGAAAGGCCCTAAACAACGTAGTGAGATCCTGTCTCAAAATAAAAAAATAAAATGGGTTGGGGATGTGGCTCAGTGGTTAAGTGCCCCTGGGTTCAATTCCTGGTATAAAAACAAACAAACAAACAAAACTGGGATGGGCCCCAACTTGAGTTTGCCTGATATTAGTGACAGCCTTAGTGTGTTTTCTCTTCCACTCCTCCCTGTACAGACTTTCTTTGTGCCTAGTTGGTTAATTAGTGCTGTGTAATTTATTTTTGTTAACTTTGATGGCTGCTCATTGGAATAAGATAATGACCAAGGATGTGGATGTGGCTTATTATTCGACCATTAAGCCACATCCACAGCTCCAGGAAATGGCCTGGCCACAGTGGAGGAGAAATTCCTGTCTTGGGCAGGATCAGACACAGTGCTCTTCAGATGGACTGTGCTCAGACACAAGTGTCTTTCCAGTGTAGGCACACACAGGTGACTGTGGAACCTGTTCCAGAAGAGGTAGATTAAAGCAGTGTCCTCCCACCCCAGGGGATTTCCAGGTACCTCACTTGAGCTCCAGGTCATTCCTGTCCCTGGATAGTCTTCCTGATTCGCAAGGCTCTTGTCCATTGCAGCTTCTTAGTCTCGCCTCTTGCACCTGCAGGAGGCAGGGCTTTTCTTTCTACCTGGGGATTGACCTGGGGGAAATCCTGGGGCCATCTGAACTAGCTTATTAACCTATTGTCAACTCAGGGCTGTCCCTCTGCTCCCAAACCTTTGACCAGATTGGGATCTTGTCCTTTGGGGACTTTTCCAGAGCTGGAGCTGATGCTATGACTGGCAGCCCTCTTCTCTATAGGGTGCCAGAAGGTCAGCGTGGGAGCCCCCCACCCTTTTTAATGTGTAGAGAGAATAAAAAAAAAAAAAACACTACCACAATAGCCACTCCATGCTGACCACATGCACTACTTTATACAATGTTTAGGTTGTTGCTCTAATTTTTAAAAACTTTGTCTTGGATGTGGTCCCTAGAACACGATGAAGATTATTTTATATTATTGTGCAAAAGGCAAAGTGAAGTCATTGGCAGCCACCCTTCTCCAACTCATTCTTCCCAGAGCAACCAGAGAAAGCTCTCTTTAAAGTAATTGTCAAAATTCTGTATCTTCTTTTACCTGAAAAATTTAACAAATAAGGCATGGGACCTATCTTTTAAGGAAAATAAAAAAAATATCTTACTGA